TAAACCTAATTGGCTTAATTACTACTAAATATGATGACTACTAAAAAAGTTAAAAGCGCAACTTTAAACATTTTGCTACAGGTCAGACACTTTAACTTTTGCATTAATATGAATAACAGGGGCTTTTAATTTTAAACACAGAATTTAAGATGGAAATAACTGCAAAGGCAAACTGTGTAAAACAAACAAACAAAAAAACCCCCACCATAGATCATGCAGTTTGTTCGTACAAATACACAGTAAAAGAAACCAAAAAAACATCATGGTGGTGACCAAAATGCTAATACAGAGGCTTCAAAATGCATCTTACTGTGTCTGTGTTTTTTTTTTTTTTATATACAGTCTATAATTAATAGATTGATACCTGCTAATGCGACTTTCAGTTGCTCCTTTATTCACGAAGCTGCACTTTTTTTACTGGCTTCATGTTCACGTTTGAACTTTGACTACATAAGTGTGAATCGGAGAACTTTTTGCTGCTGCGACAGAGGAATAACTCTGTCTCCTTCACTGACGTGACACCGTGGCCGACAGCTGCACTCGGTGGCACTATGCTGTGTGATTTAAAGAGCACTTCGCCCACTCTGTTGCTCTCTCACATTTCAAACAAAACACTCTCAGAAACATTTTGCCCCCTGCCTCGAGCCACTCATGAAGCTGATTGGCTTGTTGTGCACCTGTTTCTCTGAGCTCTCCCAGTGTTTGCAGAGCTGCTGTGGGTGTTAATGGAAACAAGTGTCAATCCTTAACTATCGCTGGCACGCTATTCTCTCTGGCGCTCATCTGCTGTTCTGACCTTTTATTTCTTTCAGCCCATTAACTTTGTTTTTCACGTCATGAGCGATGAATAACAAGTTGCTTGATGCTGCTCTATGGTACGGTGGCAGCTCTAATTTCAAGCAAACGTGAAGCCATAAAGCTTTCACTGGAGCACAGTTTTAAACCGGCTACACACCACACCCATGCCTCCTGTGCCAAAGAAAGACTTTGTTAGCAGATTTTATGGATCACCCAGAGAGTCAAATTCTCTAAATATCTCGACAACCTTTAGACCTGGTAGAGTTAAGTATGTAAGGTGAATTTATGCGGTTATTCATGTTCCCCTGGCTATTCCTGACATCACTGGATGTCAGGATCACTGGATCACTGTAAGGTTTGGTCCACATTCAGGGTAAACTGGAATCATAGAGTGTATATAAAAGATGAATTTAGCTCTATTAGCCATTAGTTAGTGATTGGAGGGTCTGACCAAAAACTCTGCATGCTCACACAATAGCCACTTGATAATCACAAGGTAAGCCCACAATTAAGCATACTATGTTTTATTAGCTATTTTGATCATAATTTATAAAACGATAAGACCTCAAATCGCTAAATAAAGACTAAAAATTCTGCAAGAAAGTGTTTAAAGAGCTCAGAGATCAAGTGTACAGTTGCCCTGAGAGGTCAAATGCAGTGCAACTTAAGAAAACACCAAGAAAATAGAAAAATGCTGCAAAAGTACACAAAACAAAGGAAGTGTTTTTGGGGGAGATGTGATGGAACAACTGTGGTAGATGTTAGGATTGCACTGGGACGTGCTTTAAAAAAAAAAAAAAAAGCTTATGTTCTATCTACTTTGTCTTCCTCATACTTGTGGCCAATTTTGAAACAATTGCACCTGGATGGTTAAGATGCACAGAGACAGACTGGGGTTTGAACCAGGAACCCTTTTGCTCTGTTTGCTAACTGATATTGTTTATATACATGTCCACCTTTTATATACAGTCTGTGATTTTTGGTGACATTATAGCAGGATCAACATCAAGTTTTAAATTTGGGCACTACTTTATGTCAGTGCCATCAACATCAGTTCATTTACTTTTCACTGGAAAACATTCCCCTTGTGACAGGCTAAACCAGGATGGTGAACAGTACAGCCTCACAGCCCTGCGTGCATGGCTGTAGACACCTGGTGAAGCCTTTTCACTGGAAAAACTGAATTGCTTCTTTCTTCTTTCTCCGTCCACAGAAAGGAAGGAAGTGCTCTCGCACCCATAAGGCCCCAGAGCCACATCGTCTGTCATATGCTGGCTGTAGGAGCACTCGCCTCTATCGGCCCAACTACTGTGGAGTATGCCGGGACGGCCGCTGCTGCTCGCCACGTCGCACCCGCACAGCTAACGTGACCTTTGCCTGCCCTGACGGCGAACGCTTCAGCAGGTCCGTGATGTTCATCCAGTCGTGCAAGTGCAGCGACGAGTGCAACCATCTCAACGAGGCCGTAATGCCCCCACAGCTGTGGCTCTATGGGGACACGCACAAATTCAATGACTAGCGGCGTTACCCTGCCAAACCTACATTCCTTCATAAAAACAGACATTAACTCCCCCATCTCACCCCCGCCCCAGCAGTACCCATTATAGAGTAGTTGTCCTTAGTGGATCCATGAGCGGAACACACACCGAAACATTTGAGGATGAATGCGGAAAAGAGGAATGTGTCTCGGACTGGGCGTACCTCACAATGTGGAAACCGCAAAAGTGACCAGGCCCTGCTTTAGTGTAGATAAAAAGCTGTTTCTGGCCTTGCCAGACTTTAAACTGTGAATAAATCTTTGGGTGTAAGCAGACCCCATGTTAGTGCCCAGCTTCAAAAGTTCCCTAGAACTGTTTTTGGGAACAGCTGAGAAACACAGACATGCATAAGTCTTTCGTGTGCTGAAGGATTCACGGTGTGGATTTGACAAACCTGCTGGAATCACGTCTGCGCACTCCAGTATATGACAACTGATAGACTAAGTGACAAAGAAGAATAGGATGGCGTTGGTAGAAGATGGAAGTTTGTCTCAGATGTTTTTACGGGAATGTGGTTTGGGTCATTTTATGGTATTTATTCTCTGGTATTTATTGTTGAGACAGACATGATGACACATCAGCCTGCCACTGGGGAAGGTGGCGCTGCTATTCTCGGAGAATCGATGTGGCAGAACAACAATATCAGGCGGACAATACTGCTGAGCCCCGAGAGAGGGTGAGGAACTGCCATCAAACCAGGACTTGACCCCGGGCTCAGATTTGGTCAGAAAGCCATATCTAATGATGAACAACAAATGATAAAGGAGGAAATGAGGTATATACAATGGATAAAGTTGGAGTTGAACTTGGTGGTTGGAGGCATTAGTGGGAAAACATGTCAAAGGTTGTTTACACAGCTGGACTCATCCCCTCGCCTTGCCTTCACAAGAAACTGAGACATTTCGCGAGCATCCGAAGAACACGCTCGGGATTCTGTCGCCAACAAGTCGACCACCTAATTTGGCCAGGTACAATCCTGACTCGTGATGGCAGAAGGAGACAATCGTCCACTCTGGTTTGTTTTATAAATGAATTTTGGAAAGCTGCGTGTGCCACGGTAAATGTGTTATTTGTGATTTGAAGGTGGAACTGCTCTGTCGTCTAATCTGGCTCGTAACTGAGCAGCCTCTTCGTGTTAAAGTGCGTCCTGTTTCTGAGAAATGCTGTTGAAAGGCTGTTCAGTCGTTTCACACGGCTGTGAGAAGAGCTTTATGTAATTTTGTTTTCAGGGGGTTGAGGTCTACAGCTGCCAAATGTCAGCAGGAGCCTACCTCTAAGGAAACTAACACTGTCAAGTCTATCTTCAGGTTGTACGTTACGGATGGCTTAGCCCTTTATTATGATTATCCACCCGACTTGGTGTTTGGGTTGACGTTTGAGCACCTTACAGCAACCTTGATTCACAGCCTAATCTGGTATCCACATACAGATGAGTTGAAATCACGAACTGCCTTTTTTAAAATTACTGTATACAGTGGTAACTTCGTCTCAGTGGAAGCACCAATGTACTTTATCCGTTTGTGCCATAAATTACACATTTTTGCCCTGAGGTGAACGTTTTTCCCCCCCTACCATCTCAACTACAAAACATCTGCTGCCCCAAATCCTTATCAGGGGTTCTTTTTAAACTTTAATTTGCTAAGAAATGTCTTTTGTGTTTTCCATTGCTATTTTGCCCATGAAGATGCTGTGGTTTTGATATTGTATCTTTAGTTTTATTGAGGGAAACTATAGTGCAGCTATGTACAGACACATTGTTACCTTTGTAGTTCTATCTGCTGTATAAGGGCCAATCATTATACTGAAGTAGTCCATGTATAGTTTAGCACTGGACGAGGCAGGGTTCAGATCATTTATGAGCATTAAGTGCCAATTTTGAAAGCTTGATGACTGTAGAACTAGTAGTGTACATTAATAAGTCTGTAATTTTCTATAATGAGTCATGCTTAAGATCTTATGCTTAAAAAAAAAAAAGTGTTCCTTGTGATTAACTCTTCTTGGAATCTGGTTAGTTTACAGTTGACTTTAAGAGCTGGAATGAGTTCATCATCGTTTCGCTTTTTAAAAAATAAAATTCTCTCTGACAATCACTGTTGAACATTTATCAAAAGAGGATTTTTTTTGTCACGTAGGTTAAATTATACAGCAACTCTATGGTGTAGCGCTTAACACATCCCCCTAACATGCAGATAAATGCATCTGGTTTAAATTGAGTCAGATCAAACATGCAGATCCAGCTGCTGTGGCGGAGCAGCCAAAGATCTGCAATTTCACAGCTATGCTAGCAGCCCTGCAACGAGCCATACTATGTTAACATTTAGCAGGCATTTCATGTATTTACACATGTACACTACAGTCACTATTTGGTACTAAAGAAAAGTTACTTAGTAGCAAGATAAATTTGCGCCTGCCCAACTGCACTTAAGATATCAACATCCAATATCGAGTTACTGTGCAGCAATAAAAATTGCAGAGAACCATCACTATGACTCTGCACAGTGATGTTTATCCAGTATTGAATTGTTGCTAAATCATCTAAGCAGATTTCCACTTGTTTAACACTTTGAATTTTTAATACTTAAAACAAAATACCAAGAAAAAAAAAATACAGTTAAACAGTGACATGTTTTGCCCCGTCAAAATCTGCAAATTCATCACTACCAGTTCATGTGGTGACTTCATTTATTGGAGGATATTCAGTTAAAAATCCATAGAAAGAGCTGCCATATGAGCCAAATTTGTGTCTTTACAACTTTTTGATTACCAGCCAAACAGCCACTTTTTTTGTACTGGGAAGGAAAACAAAACATCTCCTATGCAAATCTTGCTTGGACATAAAGAAAAAGCACAGACTCCTATCACATATTCCTCTGAAAGTTTCCCTGAAGCTCTGTCGCTGCTGAGACTGAAACCAATGAAAACTGAGCAGAGACAGCATCCTCATAAGTGACCACAACAGTAAAATGACATTTTATAAAAAGTTTTAATTCCATTAAGCAAAACGAAGACAAATTAAAACCAAACCCCCCTAAAAACTGACAATAAAAATAAACGTTTGGTGAACAGAGGAAAGGCAGAGCTTTCAAATCAATGGTGAAGTACGTCTACTTCCAAATACAAGACGAGATCCACGAAGAGCAGACTGCCGTTTGGCCGGGGACTCATCTGGACTGCTCGACTACAGAGGGGGAGAGAAGGAGAGACTAGTTGAGCACGCAAAACATCAGAACGATGAGCAACAGCTGAGCATACCGACGTTTCAGCAACAGGTTAAATATGTGAAGGATTTGAGGAGCGCTTCAGTTAACGTGACAGCACCAACTGTTGCGTCTTGTTGCCGAGTAAAGGTTTACTGCAATTTTCTGTGGGGAACGCTTCAGCATTAACGCAATGATTTAATAATAAAGTGCTGCAAAACTCTTTAATCCACAGATCACAGTGGTTCTAATGTTATTAAAGACATCAGTATGCTTTTAAGGAGGCATTCAGAAATAAGAAAAACCAAAAACACTTACTGTAAGATGAGATGTCAATCTCATCTGGCAGCTCGGCTACATTGACTTCAAAGCGGTCCTGCACATCGTTTAGAGTCTTGGCATCAGTCTCGTCTGACACAAAGGTTATAGCCAGGCCTTTGGTCCCAAACCTACCAGCACGGGCAACCTGAGGGGCGCAGAGAAGGTAAGAGTAAGTCCAAACTGCAACATGGACTACCACTAGCATTCACACGGTGCTTGATGAGCAAATAAGACAGCCAACTTTCCTGCATATGAAAAAGGAGAGGGGCTCAGAAATTCATTTCTCACCCTGTGCAAATAGGTGTCAGAATCTTCTGGCATGTCGTAGTTGAAGACGATATTCACTCGCTCAATGTCCATCCCTCGGCCAAACAGGTTTGTGGCCACCAGGATCCGCCGCTGGAAGTCTTTGAATTGCTGATAGCGAGACAGCCTGAGAGAGGGTAAGAAGGGGAAGGAGGACAGAACCATCAGGAGGATTATCAACAAGCACTCTCTGAAGACTAATGCGTTGAGTTGAAGGATGAGGCCTCCTGCTCTCAAAAATACACAACACATTTGAAGCTCAGCAGAGCATGTTTACGAGTTGAGAGTTTATAAGTCACCTTTCCTCCTGAACCATTCCCCTGTGGATGGCAATGGCAGGGAAATTTTGCTCCACCAGTAGCTGGGACAGAGCGACACAGCGCTGAACTGACTTGACGAAGATCACCACCTAGAGGCAACGCACGGGCATTAAGGAAGCACCGAGTTAGACCTCTGATGCAATTTTTATTACAGCTTTCAATGAGTATTTGGGACCTTTTGAATACAAACATTAGCTTGCAACAATATAAAGATGTATGTTCCCTCACCTGATTGAACTCCAACACATCAAGCAGGTCAAATAGCTTGCGGTTTTTCTCGCTGTCCTTCAGCTTGCAGTAGTACTGTTGCAGGCCGTGGAGTGTAAGTTTGGTCTCGTCATCCACAAACACCTCCATGGGCTGTACATGAGATAGCAGGTAAGTAAAACTTCAGTGCAGCAGTTTTCAGTACAGACCGAAAGTGGTGGAGATGAGTTGTCTCACAAAAAACAACAGACATTCAGAGGTGAAGCAGCCCTCCGCTGCTTACTTACATCTTGCATGAACTTGCGGCACACTGGACGGATTTCCTTACTCAGTGTTGCACTGAACATCATGACCTGCTTCTCATGCGGTGTGATCCGGAAGATGTCCTGAACATCACGCCTCATGTCTGCCATGTGAAGAAAGAAAAAGAGTGAAAAAAATGACTAAGGTAAGATTCTGACTGACTACTGCAGTTTTGCTGCCGACTTGGTGAAAACTGGGAAGACAAAAGCAAAGAAAAGTCACCTAGCTGCTCCAGCATTTTGTCACACTCGTCCAGGACAAAATGCTTGACGTTCTTCAGACTGAGCGTCTTGTTCCGGATCAGGGCGAGGATACGGCCGGGAGTTCCGACAACAATGTGAGGGCAGTTCTTCTTCAGGACGTCCTCGTCTTTCTTGATAGGCAGGCCACCAAAGAATACGGCTGCTTTTATGGTGGGCATGTACTTGGAGAAACGCTCGTACTCTTTGCTGATCTGGAAGGCCAGCTCTCGTGTGTGACACATGACTAATACAGACACCTGGAGACAAGGAAACACAGATTAAATCCAAAAATCTATCAAAAAGTCAAAGGTAGGCAGAATAATTTGTTTAAAATGAACAGTTTTACATTACAAACGACAAGATGCATTTAATGTTAATGTTACATTTTTAGTGTTTTATGATCATCTAAGCATCTGTCCTTGAAAGAAAATTACATCCCACTGTAGCTATAACACCTTAGACTTGAAGGTCTGCAACTCTACAAGCCAGAACTGAGCCATATATCAACTCTTTGGTGTATAATTTCCACATAACAAGCACAACATGAAAATGCCACTTACAATCAAATAGACTGATGCTATAATACACAACGAATGTCATCCATCCTCTCAAATCCCCAAATTCCACCAGGATCGGCTGCGCTGCATTTCAGCACTGACACGAACACTTAAGCCAATCGACCCTTATGCCTGATTTATGCTTTAGCAGGAAATCTACATATTAAACGGAAACCCCTCTTAACCGCAAGTGTAACATAGAAAACCCAACATGTAGTAACATTTCTCTTGTCAAGTTATGTGGAAGGTTTTGGTGCAGCGTTAAGACGGGTTTCTGATTACGTCGTAGATTTCCCGCTAAAACATATTTTATTGTTGTCCTCAAAACTGCATATCCCAACAAAGAAACCTGCTGGTTATAAGTCACCTATGAAATCTGTTATTTGTATATTAATAAGGAATGTCATGATCCCAGAAATTCATCAGTTGGTACCAATACCAGTAGAATCACACAGCTGGATAGTGAAACAAAATGACTGGCTGGTGCCAGGTACTTAAACTGTTACTAAAACGTTTTAGAATTCTGATCATTTATTTAAATGTTGACATCATTTTACTGACAAGACCCAGACTGAGATGTTAGGATGGCTGCCGAGTAGCCCATTAGTGTTACTAGCAAGTGACTGTAACTCGTGTTAGTTACATTAAGTGAGCACAAACATTTCAAGGTTATTTTACAATGGGGAGTCTCAAACAAAATAAGCAGTAATCTGTGATTTTGGATAAGATTTGTAGGACAAAACTTTGGATGTCACTCTTAACTTATTTGTCCTCAACGTGAACTACATAAATAGCTCTGGATACCAGTCTTTCATGTGCCTTGCTAAATTGGAAGTCCAATTATTGTTTGCATATCGCCTCTTGCTAATCAATTATCTCAGATTTTGCAGCCACCTGAATGCAAAGTAGCTGCACAGCCGACTGCCTTCCTTAAAAAAAAAGAGACAGAGCAGAAGTTTGTTGCAGTTGCACGACTTTCCATCTTCCACCTGTTCTTTGACAATAGAATACTTTAAACCACATCCTGCCTCCTTTAGTTTTGGAAGGATTTCTGCCTCCCTGCATAAGCTGATGACGAGCACTGCTGCATCTCATAAATCTTGGTATCAAAATGGTACCATGGGTATTGATTCTGTTGGCATTCCCTAGCTCTGACTAAGACTGATTTTGATCAGTCTTGTTTGTGCTCTCTCACAGGTGGCTGACTTCAGCTAAGTTAAAAACAAAAACAGGACAACAAAAACATTTGGACCTCTATCAGCTTTTATTGGCTTGTTCATTAATTACCAGACTAATAACATTCATTGCCGATAAATGAAAAGCTCAACATTGAAGGCACAGTCAAAGCATGTTAAACACACATACTAACCTGTCCGTCAACGGGTTCGATCTGTTGCAGGGTGGCCAACACAAACACAGCCGTCTTGCCCATACCAGATTTGGCTTGGCACAGGATGTCCATGCCCAGGATAGCTTGTGGGATGCATTCATGCTGCACTGTGTTTTTAAACAACACAACACAAATATTAATGTTAAGTGCAGTCTTATTATTACCTGCAAATCAATTTCTTTGAACTGCTATAAAGAGCACAAGAGGAGTGGCAGTCCTGCTGGGAGTGGTGCATTTTTTTAGACGCACAAAGCAAGTCAAGCTATTCAAAAATTCTTAATGTATGCAAGCAAGATAAGGTAAGCGCTGTTGAAGAACATGCAGACTTACAGCTTTTGACTGGTTCTACCAGTGTAGTGCAAGGGTATGCCATAAACAAACTCAATTGCCAGTTCCCCACTAGTCCCATTTAACAAAAGGTACCAGAACAGTTGAATGCGTCTCACCTTCAGATGGATGCTCAAAACCACAGTCAATGATGGCGCGGAGAAGCTCCGGCTTCAGAAGAAAATCCCTGAAACCAGAGCTGTGGATGGAAACATAGGAACCTTTCACCTCCTTCTTGCCTGCTGGGGTTGCACTCTCGGGGGCTCCTTGAGGCTCCTCATCCTCTTCATAATCAAGGAGCTCGTTGTCAACGTCATTCTCAGCCATTGTATTTGTCTGAAACAAAGAAAATACAGCTGAGTATTAATGATCACTGTCCTTCATCTGTGTCTGTAAGAGAGGGCTCCCTTTACTTAGATTATATGAAGCGAGGTTCTTATTCGAGCCCACTTGTTGCACATATTTTAATACATTTAAAAAGTCTTATTTTATTCTACCATTACAAGGCGGGTTTGACTTTGTGCAACTATGAAAATCGTGGTTGGTTATAAACGTGACTCCAAACATTAGCTCTATTGTGTATAACTCGAACTGAATTTTAAAGAGTAAGCCTGTGGTTAAGAAATGCTAAGCAAGAAAACACGCAACAGAGCAGGCCTAAATATGAATACTCTAGTGTTTTGTAGGCAGAAAATATTCTGTACGACCACGTACACTCAATATAACAAACAAGGTCAAAACCGTAACCGACGATGTCAAATTGACCAAACCGGTTAGCTTCTAAGCGCATACAACACTAGAAAGCCATTGTGTTGCATAACCATTGCTAACGTGGCAAGCTACTCTTCTACACGACAACAACTAATCCGCTACGACCAACTAAATATTCCCAACGGCATAAGAAGGCGATCTTTTCGTAATTGTAACGGGAGTGTTATATGGATGACAAAAAGGCGGCATATTTCGTGTAAATAAGGAAATCTAAGTGGCGATTGCTTTGCTAGGCTATCAAATGCTAGGCTACAAAACGCTAAGTAACACCGCCCCCTGAAACAAACAACGAAAGGTTATTTTTAGCGATAGCAAACACTACTGCAGCCCAAATTAAACAAATATAATTCACAAGCTTCTTTAGGTGAAACGAGACGCGGAAAGCCGCCCAAGCGCGACAATGAAGTAGTTCAAGGATTCCTACCGTTTCGGTGTTAGCTTCGACTGCCCCGATAGATCACAACCGCATGGAGAGGCCTCAGTTAGTTTATACCACCAACCGGAAGTTCCGCCTCGACTAAAGCGGGTCGATATCATTCGCCCGTTTATGCGACCTCTGTGAAAAGCAGCCTGTGATTGGACAAAAAGTGTGCCGCAGTCCGTCGCAGTTGAAAAAAGCGGGACACAGTTGTAGCTGCTCTCCGTAGGGGAGCTCGGGAGGGACACTCGAAATAAATTAATACAGTCACGTTTTGCTGCAATATAAGTATAAAATTAACCGGGATGTGTTTGCGTATGATAATGCAGGCCTGTGACCCTAAATATAAAACAGCTTCCTGGAATTGATTCAGGTTGGATCAATTTTGTTAGTTTGTTTTTGTTTCACAGAAATCGTTAAAATTGTATGAAATCTAGACGTTCAAGTCGCGCGAGGCAAAACTCCTCTCCAGGATGTGATGTTAACAGTGTGAAGAAATTCGGACTCCATCAATAAAAGTATATGTAACTGTAATTTCTATGTTTCCTTGCACAAGTCTAAATCAAGCTTTAATTCTGGAAACATTAAGCACTGAGAATTAAAAGTCTTTAGTGCCTTCTAGTGGTCAATGAACGCATTAGTGTTGTACAGCATAAATGTCGTTGAAGCATTACTAACGTTTACAACCTTTTATTAAAATCAGAATTACGAATAACAAACGGGGCGCCAAAGGCCGATAATACGGTAACTGTATTAATAACGAGAAGTATCAGTATTTCCAACTATCCAACATGGATACACTGGCATCAGGTCTCAGCTTTCATAATACTTTGAAGAATACTTTTATACAGGAAGCAATCAGGAAGTATCTGCAGATCTGCAGAAATCTTTACAAAAGAATAAATTTTATTGCTCTGTCATCTATAAAATCTCACATTCTTTAACAGGAAAACTACAAATACAGAATGACAAGTAGTGTTATTTAAATATATTAATGGAGATGTACACACTCATTTGATTTTAACTCACAATTTATGCGTTCATCACAGATGTTCTTATTCAAAAATATTCCAGAAATATTTTTCAATGCAATACAAAGCAGTCCATCTGTTAGTTCTGCATTTTCTAAAAACAAAATGGACAATAAGGGCAGATTGGTGAAGAATTTGCCTGATGCAGTAGTTGAAGAAAAACCTTCTAAATTGTAAGAAACTCCATCAGTGCTTTTATTTTATTATGTCACCAGTCTGATAGCTGTTGTCCTTATATCTGTGATTCCAGAGCAGAAGAGAAGCTCCACTGTGTAGGAGAGAAGTAGGGAAAACTGTCAGACTCGGGCCTGGAATGCTCCTCTGTGTGCGCACCACCTGGGGTGTAAGAGCGGCTCAGGAAGTCTCTGACATGCGGTGGCAAAGAAAGAAAGAGCCAGTTTTCCACCAGGAGACCACCTCCATGCAGCCCTGAGCAGCAGCCCAGTTCAGCAGGCAGTTCTTCCAGATTGTTGCTGCGCAAGTCCAGCCTGCACAGTTGACTTAGAGCTGCAATCTCTCTGGGTAAGAAGCTAAGAGAGTTGTGAGACATATTCAGGGTGCGCAACTCCAAACAGCAATTGAAAAGCTCAGTGGGTAGCCTCTCCAACCTGTTCCCACTGAGGTCCAACTCTGTGAGCAGCTGCAGTGCCTTCACCTCAGCAGGCAGCTCCTCCAGCAGGTTACCGGCAAGCAGGAGCCTCCGAAGGCGTCGAAGAGTGAAGAGCGCTGGAGGAATGCTCTGGAGCTGGTTGTTTGACAGATCCAAGAGCTCGAGGCCTCTAAGCACACCCACGCTGGCCGGCAGTACCAAAACACGGTTGTAAGCAAGTCTAAGACAAGAGAGACGACGAAGGTGAGCCAGACTAAGCAGCTCCTCCAGAGTCCTCAGGTTATTGTGCTGCAGGTCAAGCACCCGGAGGTTGGTCAGTGCTAACAGAGCAGAGGGTAAACGCTCCAGCTGGCAATCCTGCAGATGCAGCTCTGTCAGGTAAACCATCCGTTTCAGGCCCATCAGCACAAGCAGCCTCGTGCCCTCATTCTGGATCTCCAGTCTCACCAAGCTGCTTGCCACCTCGCAGAGCTCACCGGGGATCCGCTGCAACATGCCTCGAATCACCAGCACACGTAGGTGTCGCAACTGGCGTAGGCTCCCCAGTGCCCAGCTACGGCCCACCCCACCGTCACTGCCTAAGCGACCAGAGAGGTGAAGCTCATGAAGGCCTCGCAAGGAGAGGACCCAGCTGGGGATCTCTGATGCCTGAGTGAAGGTAAGCTGAAGGACTTCTAGACGTTCCTGGAGAAAGGCAAGCGCGCTGGGATCCACAGTTGCTGTGCAGTGGTAGAGGTGCAGCTCCCTGTAGTTGGAATGCCACATAAAAGTCCAAGTTAGAGTCTAAAAAGAAGTGAATACTTTAAAAGAAATACTTTCAAAGACTACGCCCCTGCACTGTACAACTCACCTGAGTGAGGTCATGCTGGTCATGTGTGCAGTAAACCTGGTGTCTGCGATGAGCTCCAGTTTGAGGACCTGAAGCTGGCTGAGAGTGAAGAGGGCTGGAGGAAGGCGAGGCAGGGCCACCAGCTGCAGCCTGGAGCGGCCATCTGCATCCACGCTGATCATGGCGTGCAGCTTCTCCTCCCCCCAGCGCCTCTCTAAGCTTTCCTCCAGCAGCCTGCTCTCACTGACAGGCGACAAAAACACAAAGAGACGCTGGACCAGCAGAGGGTCGTACTGGTCTAACATGTGTATAAGAAAGGCCAGGTCGTTCTTCAGGTCAGGAAAATCTCTCAGGGAGCTCAGCTCCTTCAGTGAATGGAAGGAATATTGCTGCAGAGAGCTGAATTGAATCAAACACACCAAGGCAGAAGAAGAAGAAGAAAGAAAAAACAAAGAGAAACATCAAACAGGATATTTTGTAGCCAAAAACACAGCACTACATTTTTTACCCCTGTAACTAGTTTTCTGATATGCTCATCATCAGGAGCATCATTTATTTATTTATGCTTTTTACATTTAGACTAGTTTCTCTCCTCAAAGCCTGTTAAAGCCTGAAGTAGCACTCATACATACTCTAACTTTCTTTGGGCAAAACTATCCACTTTAAAAATATATATTCCTACCTTTTCTGCGATAAAAACACTGAAAAGTGCACCTTTAACATTTTTTTATTCTAACCTGCTTAAAATCCAGGTGAGAGTGTAAAAATTAAGCAGACCATACAGGCCCAGTAAGGTCAGGTAGGCCGCCAGCAGTTTGCGGAGAAGTGAGGAGAGCACGTGGATACACTCGAAGGTGGCGTAGCCCACCAGGGCCCGCTCCTCAGGGTGACAGGTGTGGTTGAAGGACAGGGAGCCGAGAAGAGGGACTGTGTAACTCATAATCAGTGTTACAATCAGGAGTTTGAAAACTGTCTGAGCCAAGTAGACCTGAAGAGGGAAAAATGGGCATCAAGACTAAACGATTCATGGAATTAAAAAAAAATTAAGGTAGCAAAGAAGTTGATCTGTAAATCTAGCAGACTAGAGGATCTCTTACCTTACAAATGACAGCTGAGCTTTCACAGTGGGACCTAAACTTCCTGACCCTTTCAAACAGCGCCCTCGCCTGTTCCCCATCACTTTTATCCAGACTGATTACCTGGCTGTGGCTGTCAGCCATTACTGATGGGCTGGAAGAAGGAAGTTGCTCCCGGGAGTCAAGAGATACACAAGACACAGTGGAGTTACAGGACAGTGTGGAGGGACAAGGGGATGGAGGGGTGGCAAATGCGCTGTCTATCCTCTTTAAAAGTGGGCTGTCTGTGCCCGAGTCTATGCTCAAGTGTCTTGTGTGGGTCACTGTCAGGGAAGTGGAAGTTCGGTGGTGTGGTTGTTGTGCTCGTCTTCCCTCCTCCACCATCTCCTGGATGCTCTCTTGGCGGGCGGCATGAGACAGGGCCTGAGATGTCCAGGGTGACTCACAGCACTTTGCCAAGATGGATAGGAACTGCTCTATGCGGGATGAGGTGTGGGGAAAGTGGAGCCAGAAGGAGCCACTGGCTACCAGGACGAGGGACTGAAGCAAGGCCATGTAAGGGAAGAAGTGGGAGGACAAAGGCAAAGCTTCATGGTAGCACACCTATAGAAACAGGCAAACAGCAATTGATTGTTTGACCACATGGGGGCAGCAGACATACACTGTGAAACATTAATAACAAAGGGTTACCTGTTAACAAAGGAAGAGGATTAGTATAAAAACTGAAATGGGTGCTAAAGTTATTCTTTTTAATTGAATTGATTTGAATGGGTAAAAGCTTAAAATACAGGATACACTGTAAGCCCAGTTCTGTGAGTATGTCTACTCACAGAACTAGACATACTGGTTCTGTGAGTAGACAGAACTAGTATATACTAGTTCTGTCTACTAGACATACTAGTAGACAGAACTACTAGTATGTCTAGTAGACATACTAGATATACAGTTTGCTGGTTTACTTCTATAGGTTGGCTATAGGGGTAAACCATGGTTCTATCTCCGAGGGTTAGTAAGGCTTAAATAAGCAACACCATGAGAGCTGTGAGTGAGCACTGAAACAGTCAAAGTGTGAATCAGAAGAAACTGGGAGATTAAAGTTCCACTGTAGAGCTGAGATAAGCGGTTTAATAACCTGTGGGTATGAGCAGGTCCTTTTACATAAAGGTTCAGAATGTTAAATATAGCTCACTCTATGCTTTCACAGAGTGAATAACAAAAACAACAAAGCCAGCACTACTTTACCTGGCTAATATAAATGTACTGCTGGTACACCAAGTGCGTGCGCCGACCCCGAGGTGCAGAGTGAAGATTTGGGCCGATTTTGTGTGCGTGGTGTATTTGAGGCTGTGATGATGGAGACAGTCCCACATTGGCACTTTTTGAGTGACTGTGATCACTAGTGTTTGTAGTTGAATCCAAAGGAATGCACACTACTCGGTCCCTGGACAGCTGCTCCGTACAAGCCAGGACAGATGTCATCAACATCAGGACCACCAGGTAGTCCATAAAGACCTCCCACCAGGGCTTCAGCAGTTTAGACCTGTTCTGATGCTGATTCAGAGGCGCT